TATGATAATTATGGGTTTTGTATTTTATTTTAATAGAAGTTGATGTTGCTTTTGCAATTATCCATCAATTTTTTAAAATTAAACACTATCTACAGATTTGCATCGAAGCGTTTCTTATGATAGTGATTTTAATCACTGTCAGATTAAATTTATACTGGACCCTACTATGCAATGTCTCCACTATGCCGTGACCCCACTGTGCTACCGTTTTTTTCATTAAATTTGTAATTTTTTTGGAGATTTCCCCCATTTACGGAAAACGAGGGATATTTTTTTTAATTTTTGTTGGTAATATTTTCGACTGGATACGATTTTTGATCTTTTGATGAATTGTTTAAATCAATCGGTTTGGTGAGAGCAGAGAAAAAGTGGCAAAAGACACAAAAATAAAAAACGCATCATAGTAAAATTAATACTTTCTTAGCTTTGCATCGAAGATAAAAAAATTATATTTATTATTTTATTAAATAAACACATAATATTTCAATAATTCTCATGCTTATACAAAACCACCCAATCAAATTACTAATATACAGTATTTTATTTTGAGTTACTATTATTATTATTAGTTTTACTTCAGTAAAAATATTACGTCTAGTCTTAAAATAAATACTTGTCGTAGAGAATACGAAAAAATCTACATAGCCTAGCAAAACGGGTTCGAACCTTCGTTTTTATGCAGCACGGCGCGAGCTGTTACCCAGCTGACCTATGTAGTAACTTTCATAAATTCATTATCATATTTCACATTTTTATTGAAAGTATTTTTTCTTTTAGTCGTAGCAGTTTTAAGTGCGCCAGCCTTATTTCGTGAAGGTAAATATATTTCAAATAATAGAGTGTTCATACTTTTATAAGAATAACATTATAAATATAAACTACTCATCTCACTTATTTTCAGTCAATAGTTATCATCGCTAAAAACATTAAGCAAATTAGGGTTACAGCATAGCATATACAATGTATCTGAAAGTTGTCCTAAAGTAATGCCTACAATAAAGGGCAATTGCACAGGGTCCTACATAATACTGGTCTTAGGAGGAAATAGTATATAGAGGGTTCAATAAGCAAGAAAACGGATTTCTCTTGTTCTCATTATGTGCAACAATTGACCTGTTTCCATATTTACTGAACACTCTGTATACTATGATTAACATCATTGTTTGAAAATGTAATTTTCTATTATATTATCAAGTTAATAATAGAAGTCTCTATTTAAAAATATTGAATTTTAGTTTTTTTCCCTGAAAGCTAAAGTTTGTCAAAAAAATCAGTTCATTGTGAGCTGAGAAAAAGTAGTAACAAAATTAAAAATCTATTAAAATAAACACATAAAATAATTATCTACTCAGTTTCATATTCAAGCTAAAAATAAAACTAATTTTATGAGCTGTTAATAATTTAAAAAATAACCATTTATGAATAATAAGAAAGTACACACAATTATATACAGCTGACAAATATACTTACATGGAATATACTTAAATTCTAAGTCTAGTTTTAATGTATCGAATTTAATTAATTAATCGTTTTTGGATTAGCATTTTTTATGTTGTCTAATTTCAAAATTGGCATTATAAATATATTTGCTATTAGTTAACCTTATTATAAATAATAATAATAGTAATTATATAAAATATTTTGTTATAGTTTATGATGAAAAATGTGAAGTTTGTAACAAATCGGAAACGGTAGTATTTTTAAACCCTTGTTTACACCGATTGTGTGCAACATGTGCTTACGATGCTGATTTTAAAAATAAGTCTAAATGTCTGGTTCCATCATGCAAAAGAAACATAGAATATTACCACATTATTAGTGCGTTCATTACTTCAATTTAGAACATTGAATTATTTGTTTACAGCGTTATATGCAGATTATTCACTAAAGAAACAGTTCATTTGTTTATAACAACGAGAACAAAAAAACACGTTTTTTTACTTACTGAATACCCTAAATAATTTGTTGAGTGAAATTTCTTTACAGAGGGTTAAGTAAAAAAAGATTATTGCTCATCACGATTGGCATCACTGTTGGACGTAATTTTTGGCTGTATTAATGAACGTATAATATAACAAAATAATTTTGATCGTATTCATAATAGAATCCTTTTGACGTATAAAAGACAGCCAAATATATCAGTCGAACGTGTGACCGAAAGTGATGCGCAATAATCGTGTCAAACGTATCGTATTGTTCGATGAACGTATAAACACTGACAAGGTAAAACTTATCTGTATTATAAGTTTAATAAACATGTACATAATATGTACATGTTTATCATATTATGATAAACGTTTACGTTCTAAGATTGTTTTTCAATTTATTGTAATATTATAAATTTAAAATTCATAGAAATTGATTTTTAATATTAAATTATTTATTTTTTATTAATATATTAATTAAACATAATAACAGTTTATTACTAATGCATACAACTTAATATATGTTAAATTAATTCACTTGATGCGAATTAAAAAAAAATCGTCAAAAAATATATAAACAATTTAATTACTCAAATTCTAAAAAAATACATTTTAAATTAGATAATACACTTTAAATGACAAAATTTAAATTTTAAAACTAAAATGAAATATATATATATGTATAAAATATTTTTATTTATTCTTAATTATGTTTATAAGTAAATAAATAATTTATATTAATAACAAATATCTATAATTATTTTGTTTTTCGTTATTAATGTATATAATTAATTAAATTTTATAGATATTATATTTATTTATAAAAATAAATAATTAAAATATATATAATATTGTTCAGTCGTTCAAAAAATGTGATAGTGCGGCGAGTTTCGGTTTTTCATCGTCATGAGCGCGACCTGTCCCAACCGGTTTTACCGTTGTGGTAGTGTGTGTGCGCGGTGGTCACTAATGGCCACTCCTACTCGCGTTCTCGTATACTTCAGATGTGCGTAACTGCAGTAAAATTACGTACATTGTTTGTGTCATGTGGCGTCTTGAGAGACATGTTGCTGTTGGTTTTTTTTGCGTGTTTTTTATTTATATAGTGTGCGTAACGGTTTTTGTTCTTATTTTTTAAAGTGATATAAAGTTATAAGTGAACACAGTTGATTGCGTCGGACTCAATTGTATATTTAATTGTAGGTAATTGTACAGAGAACGTTTGTAATGTTTGGCCAAGTTGCTGTTTGATGGATTCCTACCTGCCATTAGTTCAATGTCTATAGAAGCACAGTGTTATTATAATTGTAAATATTGTACTGATTAGTTTATGATCATTAATTCATTTATTTATAATTAAATAATAGCGATAAAACCCAAAATAGTCATACAGTTCATAACATTTTATTTGAACATCCTTTATTTAGTTTTAATATTTAATTTATTATCTTTAGTTATTTTATATAAAGAACCAGCAAAAACGAGATTTAACTCGTTAAGTGTTCGTCCGAGTAGAGTAGCGTCATACACAAATATAAATAAATATAATAGCTATAAATTTAATTAATATATATATTAAACCATAATAAATATTATATATATAAAATTTTAAATTAAATAATATATATTATTATTATAATAAATAAAATATAATAAATTATATTTTATATTAAAATTTAGCCTTATATTTTCGAAAATTATAGTAATGTCATTTAAAATGCATTGAATAATTTAATTTAAATATTTTTGATTGTACATAAAAAAATTAAATTTTGATTACCTTTAGCTACAAAGTTTTCATGAATTATTAGCTATGTAATATTTTTTAAGATCATCCCTTATGTCTTGTAAGATTATCAACTTTATTTTTTCAAATGGGAATACATATTTTGAATTCAAAAAATGTTTAAAATTTTATTTTAAAATTCAATTACATTTTAATGTTTAACATAACTTTATTAAATAAACACATACGTGTTTACTATGTGTTAAGCGTTGATAATGTTAACATTGTTACCAAAATATGTATTCGCGATTTTTTAGTAAATTTTTGTGTTAAACATTTTTACTTTCAATATTTTAATGTTATATTGATTTTAAATAATATTAGCCACAATTAAACAATTTTTCTTATATAGGTTGATCGATTTATCATAAACACCTCGATTACTCGACAAATAAACACATCACTGAAAAAATATTTGCATATTTTTATTTACATATATTTCTAGATTTATCAGATAATAATTTTTTTTTTGAATCGTCCCTTTTTACTTAAAAGGGCGTCAAATAAATTTTTTTATATGACAACATACATATTATACTAGCCTATAAAATGGTAAATAATTTAAATAAGAAAATGACTGGTTAATAACAACTTTTAAACTAGTACTTTGGAAGTTATTTTCATTATTGTACTTGGACGTGATGAAGAGTTTGGCTGGGAAATGACTAGCGATAAAAATATCAGCACTCACTTCTTACCTCAGTCATTTCATTAAATTTGTTTATAAATTCTAAATTGCTTTATGTTCATTATATTTGTATACTGCCATTAAAAAAATTAATATGACACCCCTTTAAGTTATAAGGGATAATATTATAAATAATTATCAGTTGACAAACCAAGAAATACACATAACTTAAACAAAACAATTTTATAATAATAATTATTATTATTTATAGTAATTTAAAATCAAAAAACCACAAACAACTACTAAAATACGGATACGTGTTTTAATAATAATTGTGCCATTATCAAAGCTAAACACGTATGTATTGATTTAATACAGTTATGTTATACATAAAAATGTATTTTATTGTTGGAATAAAACCTTAAACTTTATTTTTTTAATTCAAATTGGGATAAATTGGGATTTAAACAAAATAATTCTTAGAAAATGTAAAATATTGTTTTTCGTAGTTGTTAAGGGATAATTCTTATATGGCATACATAGCTAATAATTTAAGAATAATTAGTAACTATAGGTAACTAAAAAAAAAGTGAATAATTGAGTGTGTTATGATAAAGAAATAACTCGTATACATTTTTTTTATTACAGATGATAACGGTTTATGTTATATTTGCAAAGAAGAAGCATCAACAATAACAATAATTCCCTGTTATCATAAAGTGGGTAATGCTTGTGCCTATGAACAAAAACTTTCACAAACGGCGAGATGTCCACAATGTCAAAGTGTAGTCACATGTTTTAAAGGAAGTGGTATGAAAACAATTTATTAAAATTGTTATTATTATATTTTTTGTAAAACTGTCGAAATATGCTGATACGGTCTCGCGTTGCTTCGCAATACACGTGATGCCTCGGGACTCGTGCCTCCTTTATCAGCCGTCGCCCTACTATGAATATTTTTGTTTGACTGACCAACACCGCGTGCCATACGCCATAGTGCAAAGTCCAACAAGAGCCGCACAGCCGACGACGACCCGCCGCAAATGATACGTTAAGTGTCTTCCCGTTGTCGTAGAGGATGTACGCAACTGGTTCCGGACGCGCCACTTGTCCGGGACTCGGCGAACCGATCTACACCCGTGCACCGTATTCATCAACACTGTTAACTTTTCGACCCCCAAGGATCATGCCGGACACCGCGTAATAGACACCAGCGAAAGTGACGCGCTATTATGCGGCACTTATTGTTATTATAGATTAGTATTAACTATTGTTTCGTTTTCTATTAGTAACGATATTAGAATAATATTAAATAATATTAATTATTAAAAATATGTGTGTGTGGTCTGAGAGTCTTTACTGAACTATATCGTACAGGTTAGTTGCGACAACGCAGTTAGATAACGCAACGTGAAAACACAACATCCCCTTCCTTAAGATAACAATAATACAAAGAGTAACAGACATTAAAACAGCAAATACAAATACAAAAATATATACATATAAAATAATTAAATATATTTCATAATATAAATACTATACTATATTAACTTTATAGATAACAATAACATAATTTTAAGAAGTTCTCTCAATAAACTTTTTCAAATGAAATTAATTTCCCCTAAAACTACACCATTTATGTGTTACTAGAAATGATCTTGGAATTTTTTGCAAGTCTAAAATTACTTCCCTTACCCATTCAGATCTTTTTATGTTTCTAACCAACACTTTTTCTCCTATTTTAAATTATTTATTTCTTTAATTCATATTTTGCATTTATTACCTTTGGTTTTAGTTCCAACTAATTCCAACTATTCACATAACTCTGATCCTAAAATTGTTTCTTTTTCCTTCTTTCTATTCCCATGCATTATTATATCATCAACAACTATAAACTCTCTTTTATTAATTTTATTATTATTATTATTATTTTGGCACTCTACCCAAAAGATTTTTATTTTTACATTACATTTTTTTATTTCCGGCTTTGAATTAAAATTATTATAATTATTATACGATAATATATTAATTTCTGCTCCAGTGTCTATTCTTACTTCAACACTTAAATTATTAATCTTAATATTTTTTCTATCCACTTTTTATTTTTAATTTTCTCTTTAATCTCACATAGACTATTTACAGTTAGATACTCATCATCACTACTTAACTCTTGTTCACTCAATGATTCTTCATATTCTTTTAATTTAATAACTTTAAAATTTTTGTTATTATTTTTACAACCTACTGCAAAATGATTCATTTTTGAACAAATCCTACAAATTTTTCCAAAAGCTGGACAATTTTTTGGTTCATGTTCATAATTACATTTTTTACATAAATATTTAACGCTATTATTTTTATTAAACTTATAATCATTATATTTTACAAAATTGTTACTATTATTACCTCTACTATTTTGTTGCTGCTGATAATCGTTAAACTTCACTGCTTTGTACACTGACGTGTTCCCATTACCTGTTGTTCCGGTTGTTTCAATTTCTTGCTTATTAATTTCTGATAGCTCGATCGATTGACAAAATTGAATTGTTCTCTCCCTCGCGTATAACGTTCCCCCCGCCACGCCCGCTCACAAAACACGGCTATACCTCGTGCATGATACGTTTACGTACTTAAGTCACTTAAGTCTAATTGCTATTAAAATTTATATATTAACACGCTTTATACTCATTAAGAAATAAAAAGTGTATTCATTCCGATTACGGGGGATAATACTCGTATTGTCATTTTTCGTCACTACCTCCACGTTCCGGGAGTGGGTAAATTGCGAGCTTGCTGCTTTCCTTAGATATGGTAGCTGTTTCTCACTCACTCTCCGGAATCGAACCTTGATTTCCCGTTACCCGTTACAACCATTATATTGATAGTAACTACTATCATAAAATGAAATTAAAAAACCCAGCACAGGGGGGTCGTGGCATAGTTGGATCAAGTATAATGATATCTGACAATGATTAAAATAACTATCAAAATAAAACACTTCAATGCAAATCTTTAGATAGTGTTTAATTTTAAAAAATTGGTGGATTATACCACAAGCAACATGATCTGCTAGTTTGTTATTAATATCCTGATTCAGATAAAGTATGTCGTATATAGGGAAATGGTCCGATTTAAAAAAACAGTATGTCAAATGAAAGATGTATATAAATACTACTCTTCATTAAAAATTGTACTGATCCATACATTTTTCAAAAAGTTATAGCATAATAAAGTTAAAAATGGAAAATACAAAATCGAAAATTTTCACACAAAAATAGCATTCGGTAGCCATTTTCACCATGAAGATAAGATAAAGTCCGAAATTTTTTTTTTNTTTCACCATGAAGATAAAATAAAGTCCGAAATTTTTTTTTTGCATAATAAAAAACATTACATTAGCTTCAATTTAATATATATATAAAAGTGTCAGATCTTCCGGAACATTTTCAAAAGTTAAGTTGAAAAAGTTAATTTTTTGTGAAAAAGTTGTCATTTTAAATCCCCCCTTGTGGGCAGGTTAAGGGTTAAATTTATGAAAAAAATATACCAAATGAAAGGTAATGATATTATGCATCTATATAAAAAAGAATTATATTGATATGTTTATTTTTTAAAAAGTTATGGCACTTTTAAGTAAAAAAAATTGAAAAAATTTCGAAAATTAGCGATTTTTAAATTTGTAATTTATTTGGAGGTTTCCCCCATTTACGGGGAACGAGGGAATTTTTTTCAATTTTTAAGGGTAATGTCTTCGACTAGATACGATTTGTGATCTTTTGACGTATCATTGAAAGAAATCGGTTCGGTGAGAGCTGAGAAAAAGTGGTAA